TGTTTTGGCCCACGACTGTAACCCATTTATAAAGAAGAACACCTTGTTCTTCTCTGTTGTGCCCCTGATATCTAGCATCAGGATTGAGAACTGTCTGACATAGTCTCGTATGTTTCCAGTATGTTTCAGGGCTACTATTTTCTCCATTGCTATATGTCCTGCATTTTCAGGGAGGAATTGTTCCCTCAACTCTTTCTTGAGGTCCTCCCATGAGTCGATGGTGCACAATCCATCCTCGATGTCTTGCACCTTCGTACGCCACACAGTTTGGCATCGTCTATGAGATACATGGAGGCTACAGTCACCTTCTTGTAGTCGGTACTGATGGTGTTAATATAACACATGCGGAAGCAATTTGGATCTTAGGCACTTTTAGAACATCAATTATTGTAAATAACTAGCATGTTCATAAGTATTAAAACTTAATGAGTTTAAATACTAACCTTTTGTAGTTCAAACTCCTTTGCCTCACGAACCGGTTTCGAACCACCACTAGTGTCTTCTCCACTATCCTCCGGCCTTAGAACGGGATTGTGGAATTCGGTGAGTGACTAAACTTGGGAGGGATTTTGTATATGTGAAAGAGAGTGTTTGTGAGAAGTTTTTCTCAAGGCTTTTCATCAAGATGAAGAATCCCCTCCAAGTATCATGATCACTCTATTTAAAGAGTCAAGTTTGCATGTTCATGCAAACTTGAGATCACCAAATTTTGACACTTAAAATTCCACTCAAATGTTTGGGATTATGTGGCAAGCATGCATGTTTGAGTTAACCAAATTTTGACACTCAAAATTCCACTCAAACTTGTGGGGTTTATTTGGCAAACATGCAAGTTTGGTTAAACCAAATTTTGACACCTCAAAATTCCACTAACATGGATTTTTCCATTAGATGAAAGTCAACATTTTGACTTTCTTCATTTTAATTCAACAATTAATTTGAATAATGAATTTCAAATTAAAGTAACATTAAATGATTAATTAAACTATTTAATTAATATTTAATATTAATTCAAATGCCAATCCCAATCAATTCCGACACATAATTGATTAAGATATTTAAATCTTATTTAAATATCTCAGATTCTCTCTTTTTGTTTAATTCGTAAATAAAACAAAATTGCGGTTAAATATATCGTATATATGTAACGCATATTCCCTAATTTGAATTCGAACACTTCGAACTCACTCGTCACACTGTTCTATGGTTTAGTCCGATATGAGCTAGCAGAGGGACCTAATGGACCTATAGATCATGGGCTCCAACGATCCAAGATTAACCGATTAAACTCATTAACCTGGTTAACCAACATTCGTTAACTACTAGGACACTCGACTATAGCCTAGTAGTTGCACTCCCCTCACTATAGATATATTTCTGTCCATCTGATATAACCATGATTAGTAAGTCGATCCTTCACAGGTTGTTCGTAACTAGAGCTGGGTCAATTTACCGTTTTACCCCTGAAGTTACTTCTTGTTCCTTATGTCTCACTGATCCTCTAATGAACAATTGGTTTGTGGTCCAACCAGTAAACCGAATCCCTCTCAGGCCAATGAGAGGGTGGGGCCCCTTGTTCAAGACCTGGAGTCAGTGCTTAAGGGAACTACCTTTCTTCTATCCCTAAAAGTGGGTAGGAGTGAATTCCGTCTTGCACCCCACGTCCCTAGCCATTCACCCAGTCTTACCCCTGAAATGGGAGGCCTGTTGAGTCGGCGAACTAGAGCCACTCTCACCCATGCAAATCTAAGGATAATTTCGAATAAACAGGAGTTCATGGTTAGCTCAGGATTAAAACCGAGTTACCTAGGTTATCGAATGAAAAGAAAATCAGTCTCAACAGTAAACGACTTTATAAAGTGAGAGTAGTTTTCTTCATGGTCCGATCTTATGCAATACTCATTGCATAGGACGCCCCCACTCACATGTCTCCACATGCACAATTTAGTGATCACATTGTTTATATCATATACAAAAGTGGGCCGCATCCATAGTGTCCCCAGAATAAGGTACTCAGCCTTATCCTTATACTATAGATCATTTTGACTATATACTTGAACTTGATCCACTCTTATGTCTCTACATATAGTTCAAGTAATCATACTATAGCAAGAGTGTTCTTAGTTTATTGGATTTAGATTAATGATCGTAAAGTTCACTTTATTCAATAAAAAATTTTACTGAATAAACATCAATAATAACTTTATTGAAAATAGAATATATCTTTGTTTACAAACTATGAGTTTTAGGACATAAAACCCAACAGGTACAAGCCGTTGTGGCTTTGAAGTACTGTTCGACATCAAAGATGAAGTTTTCCAACTCCTTGGCGTCCTGATTCCCTTTGAAGGCTCTAGGGTCTGAAAACCTTAGTTTGTTGGATCCTGCATTAGTTTGCCCAGCCGTGACATTCTCCACGACTTTCATGGTCACTTCAATTCGAGTGCTCATGGAGGCCATCCTTTCTTGGATGTCGTCGATTGTTGTTCTGAATTCATCAGTTAATCCATTGAACAAACTCATCATTTGTATTTTGTAGCACGTCGAACTCTTCGCCACGTCCCTCTTTGTGCGCGACAGAGCTATCCGGACTATCAGACGGTTTTGGGCTGCTCGTAGGAGCAACTCTTTCTTCGAGCGAGGTCACTCGAAACATCAGTTCTGCGATTGGCAACCCATCCAGGCGGTTGCCCATTGTGTTGATTTCTACGACTTTCTCACTCAATTCGGTCACCAGTGCTTCCAGGAAGCGGAGGGTGTCAGGGACTTCTTTGAGGAACAGCATTTCCTCCTCTATTAGCGTAAGCCGGTCGGCTTGTGCTTTGGGTGTCGACTTTGTCACCGACATGATTTCGGTCTTTACGATGTTACGGAGCTAACAAAGCTCTAATACCACTTGACACAATCGCACTTTCGAAGGCAGCGGACTAGCGATGGTGCGGCACTCACTTTCCAACAACAACTGAGCTAAGCCAATTTGTTCTTGCGTCGCCTACGGCCAAGCGACGTATGATCGAGCCTCTAGCCTTGGTTTTAAAAGAAGGTTTTAGAAAACGAGGAGAGAGAGAGATTTTAGAAAGAGAGATTTTTGAAAGAGACGTTATATAAGCAAGCAAGAGAAAGATAACAACGGCTTAGCATATATAACCTTGGGTAGGGAGAAGTTGACAACTAGTCATATCCCCCTATAGTACATTCTGAGACATTTCATGTCTGGCAAGCCTAGACATGATATTTTTGAGGCGTCATACGCCCTAGAACTAGAAAAGAAAAAACACTAGATGGAAAGACATGACAAGGGTTTGGCTTGTCATGGGCATGCGGCCATGGGCAACACGCCTGGACGAGCATGACCGTGACACTCAGCACACCCCTAAGTAAGATGTCATATAGTCTTAGATAGCCATGCAGAGGTAGCGCCTCATAGAGAGACACCGCTCATTACAGCTCGGCATAAGGGACTCTTAGGTATTAAATGAAAGGACGAAAAACCAAAGAAGCTCCAAGTGGCTAAGACTAGAACCAGACGTCCTAGAGCTAATGAGAAGTCCGTATTTATATGTTAAGCCTAGAGCACGATAAGAGCCTACAAGTAGATGACTTACTGAATATAACTTTTATACTCATCCTTGCTATGTCTTTCTTTTTTCAGGTGCATGAGGTGTCGAGTCAAGGGAGGGCATGATCAGAAATGTGGTATTTATCTAATGTTTTTAAGATCTCAAACTTTTATGCTTCGAATAGTGGACCTAATTTATATATTTTTCTATCAATTAAAAAAAATAATTTTTTCATCGAGTTCCTATATATATATATATATATTTTTGGTATTAGTAGCATTTATACTATTCATAAATGAAACGTTGGGACATTACACATCATCTTTTACATTTTTGTACCTATTTAAACATATTTATGTAATTATTTTTGTATACTCATATATTACTAACTTATTATATCTATATTACATCGTGATAATATTGAGATGTCTATCATATTAATATATTAATCCAAAGTTTTTAGTAACCACACTAGTAAATATGTATGACTTGACCTGTCAATAATAAATTAATTATACATTATGACGAGTTTAGGTTGATATACATATTAGACAAATTATATATTTTGTCACTTGTTTTGAAGCTAAAAATAATTTTGAAAATAACATGATCACGGCTTGAGAATAGAAAGCTATTTTTCAATTTTTTTTTTGTCAATTATGTTAATTTTTTTATTAATTAAATTAATTAATTTAAAAATAATTATAATTCAATTACTTGATTTTAACTAAAATTTCACCACTCTTTAATTTTTTTGAATTAGCAAAAAAGTCGAACACAAGTACTAAAGGTAAACATTAATAGCGAAAATTTAAGAGTAAAAGTGTATAATCATAACACTTAAAAGACTAGATGAACAATAAATTCAAACATCGAGAGTAAAAATTAGAGTGCACATTGAACCCGGAAATTTAAAAAATCCAACCAACTCAACCTAAATCATAAGGGTTAGGTTGGGTTTCGAGTTCATTAGAGATTTAAGTCCATCCGAATCGAACTAGTCCATTATTAAGAAATAAAACATACATTCATATATTGACACATTTACGTTTAGGTTTTCTTCTAGCTATTGTCGACATCATCGTCGCATACTCCTCAAAACTCCTCGCCCTTACTACCAACCATTGCCCTTTCCCTGTCCTCACCCACACCACCGCCATCGCCCTTTCTCTCGCACATGTTGCTAGCCCTTGCGGTTGCATCACATCGCATGCCCACACTCGTTGCTTGCTGTTGCGCGCCCACACTGCTCTCTCTCCCATTCCCAAGCCTAAGAACCAAACAGGGTAACAAGTTAAATTTGTTGAACTATTGCGGTCTCTATGTACACATTTTAGTTTGAAATTATTTTAAGTTGAATGTGTATGATTTATACATATATTTGTAAGCATATTGTACTGAAATTATTAGTACGCTACCCTTCCCTTATACTCTCAGGGGTTGTTTAACTATATTTTATGCCTTTTTCTCCCCCCACGAAGACTTGGTAACAGTTGAGTACCATTGCCGTACCATAATCTGTCAGAAAAAACAAACAAAACAAAACAATATTCAAATAAAAAACCCAACCCCTCCACGCCCATAGGATTCACCCAATTTCTCATTCTCCTTCCACTTCTTATGGCCACCGAAACAGATCCCACGAAGCACTCCAACGGAAGCCTTTGTGGCAGAGGACACTGGAGGCCCGCCGAGGACACCAAGCTTAAGGAACTCGTCGCCCTTCATGGCCCTCACAACTGGAACCTCATAGCCCACAAACTCCAAGGCAGATCTGGTACACACTTTACTCTCCTTTTCAACAATGGGTTTTGAAGATTTTGGTAATTCACTCTGTTTTGGCAGGGAAGAGTTGCAGATTGAGATGGCTAAACCAGCTGGACCCCAGGATTAACCGAACGGCCTTCACGGAACAGGAAGAGGAGAGGTTAATGCAGGCACATGGAATTTACGGCAACAAATGGGCTATGATTTCTAGGCTTTTTCCTGGAAGAACTGACAACGGTGTGAAGAATCACTGGCATGTTATAATGGCTAGAAAGTGTAGACAACAACACATCGCTTCTTACACGAGGAGGAACCGATTCTCTCAACCGCCACCGCCGCCTCCGCCGCCACCGCCGCCTCCGCCGCCGCCGCCGCCCTCCTCCGGTGGTGGTTTGGAAGGGGGTGAACCGGCGTTCATCGACTTTCTTGGAGTAGGAGGCAGATGATTGAAGGCGTTTAGGAAGGCAAGGAAGAGCAGAGTTGGTGAGAATATGGGCGTGGTCCAATGTTTGGGTTGGGCTGTTGGAGTGGTGAAAAGATCCGCAGTCAGTGGGTGAGTGAGTGAGTGAGTGAGTGGCATTGAAAGCTACGTATAATCCCAACGCCCGAAGCCATCATTTTCTTCTACCCTTTCTTTTTGCTCCATATTCAATGTCACCTTACTTTTCATCACTGCTTCATTGGGATTCATGTTCATTATTAATAATAGGAATGAAAAATTAATAAAAAAGTAGTTTAATTATAGCCTTTCAAACAAATCCATATAACAAATAGTTTCAAATTTAGGTATCAAATAAAAATTAGAATTCAAAACTTAAGAATAAAAACACTAACACTTTCAAATTTAGAGGTAAAATAGTTACTAGACTTAATGTAGAGACTTAAAAAAAAAAAAAAAAAAATTACTTTTTCCCTTTTAAATTAAAGTTATTTTCTTTATTTTTTTCTATTGTTTTATAATTAACCTTATTCGGAAGGGTTTTTTTTTTCTTTTATAATTAATTTAATTGGATTAGTCCCTACATAGTCTTAGGGAATAATTAATTATAATTTTCTTAGTGCCATAAATAATTATAATGGACCGTAATGTAAGGGGTACACGGGAGATTTTTAGAACAATCATAAACTTTTAGAACTCTTTATTTTGCGAATTGTCTTCTAAATTGGACGAAAAGTAGTACGTGACTTGAGTATTTAAAAATACTCAGTAAGTAACCATATTACTGGGGTCGGCATGTTCGAATTTATCATTCCATAAAATATTATGACATTCCTTGGTCCCTACTTTGAGTCTGAATAGAATTGGAAGTGTAGTTCTCTACACATACCTCATGTACGCACACATGGACTCCCAGACAGCCTCGTATATCTTGAACCTGACCTTTGACTGGCATACACTCATGCTGTCATAATACCATGAGATTAGCGAGTGTCAAAATCATACTATGAATAGAGTAAGTTCTGACCTTCACATTGAGACAAGTAGAGTAGTGACCCTCAAGTGGTGCTCTTTGGGACACTAGATGAGTGCCATGATACAACCGAGGTGAAAGATGCATCATCTAACACATCGAAGAGATGTGCATTGAAGCTAAGACAAGAAATAAGTAAGATAAAACAACGAGTAGACAAAAGGACAAAGATAGAATTGATAAAGGGTTAGGTAGAATTCCAAGCCTTAACTTTGAAAGTAGGGTTCTAGAGGGAATTCAAGCGCTCTAGAGTTAAGTTCGTTTATAGGAAATATGAATGCTCGCCCAAATTTGGTGTAAGTCAGAAACCAAATGCACACTCCATATGACTATAAGATCGTTCGTCAAAATCATGCCTACTCCATAAAGACTAGAAATGCCTCATAATATATTAGGAGAAGACATGATGTCAACTCTCCACCATTCTGGGCCATGTGGCCAAAACGAGCTATCCTGTAGCAACGAGTGTCTTGGGTGACTTTCTTTGAAATGGGTCTTTCAAGGACATTGTCACCTGTGCTGACATTGTGCCCTTGCCCATATGTTGAAGGTTAGAATATGCACCTATTATTCAAAACGGATGTTGCAAATGACTTAGCATGGACACGGAAAGGTCCAATGCATTGATATAATCTGGATGAATGGATATTCTAGATGTCCCTATGACATTAAGGACACATGGGTCCATTCTTGATGAGCATGATAAAGTGAGCTGTGATGACCGATGACATCTCGAAACTTGGGATGATATCAAGACATGTGGACTGTGTTAATTGGGAACCAAGATAAATATATGAGATATGACGTTACATACAAGAGACCTTGGCCCTGAATAGTGGCAAGGTCGAGCCAAGTCACTTGACCTAGAATTGAGGCAAGTCGGAATATGTCGTGACTATTTAACATTGTAACACCCGAGCCCAAACAAGAAATTAAAAACATGATTTTTCCTTTTAAATACAAACTTCTGAGATTTTATTGAGGGTCTAGACACCGAATTTCAAGAGGGGTAGAAGAGATTTTTTTTTTTTTTTTTTTTTGAAATATGGATATTCAAGAAAAATATTAAAACAAAATAGTGAAAAATTAGAAAAGTTAGGCCAAAGATAACCCAAGGGGTAAATTGGTCATTTTCTACTCTCCATTCCAAATTAGGAGTCTGAATTATCCGTAATCAATTTGTTAAAATGAAGTAAAAAAAGAAAGAAAAGAAAAGAAAAATAGACAAAGAAAGATGGGGTTCAAAGATTCTTGAGAGGGAGTTAGAGAGAGAAATCCAAATCTACTCTAAATATCTATTTAGAGTAAGAATTTGGCTGAGATTCTTCAATTTGGGTGAGTTTCTTCAATTTGGCTGAGTTTCTGGGCAAGAATTACTGAGTGGTCTTGGGGTGAACCATTATAGGATTTTGAATCACTCAATTTCGTCAAGAATTAAGAATCAAGACTCGAATGTATAATCAAGAATGGAATGTATAATTTTTAGGTTTTTGATTCTGATTTTCCTTCAAATTCGAGAGTTTTTTTTCTTGGAATTAAGTTCCGAATTTTTTTATTTCTGTATGTGATTGACAAAAAGTTATGAAAAAAACTAAGTTAATTTGGTTTGTGTAGAGAAAGTTATGAAAATTCAAAAACATTAAAAAAGAATTGAAACTAGTTCAGAAATCATGGAATTTTGACGAATGAGTCTGAGTGTGCACGTGACAACATGTGAAAGAGAGATTTTAGAAATTTTGAAGCTCCTAACACATGGAAAACTAGTTCGAGAAGACACACGTCACCCATATAAAGTCGCCACATGAATTTTAGGAAGAAATATTCCTAGAAATGACTTGAAATTGCATGCATGTTAGTTATTTACCTTAGGGGATAGTTTTTATCATGAGGTAATATGGGTTATCAAAATATGAGTGCATAATTTGATGAATTGTATGAGTCATCTTTTTGATTTATTTTCCACAGTAATTAGTGAATTATATGCTGAAAGAAGATGAAAATTTGTGATTTGAGCTCCGGGTGCTTGATGGATGTTACAGCTCGAGCATGTGTGATTATTTTTTATAGAATGATGTACGATGATTTTAGTTAAGTATTGTGTGCATGCCCAATTAATTTTAATGAACCAAATATTATGATAAGACTATGGTATTATGGTTAGGGATAGCTCGTTTTGGACCTAACCTTCTCCTAGGAGCCTAAGAGGCCACCACGATTTACGAACCACTTAAAGAGTTTCCCTTAGGCTGCAAGTTGTGTTAATGGTGTCAACAGATTCGTGGGGGACCAGGGGGTTTCTAATCCAAATCCAACTATTCCTAGTCGTTTCACATTGAAAACGAGAGACTCACGTCGTATAGCCCATTAGCTTAATGGGATAAGAGAGGGGTTGCGCCCCCCAAATGAAGATGACTTTATGGACCTGAGAGGTTTCAACTCATCCCCAAAGCAAGACACCATATAGTCTCATATGACCCATGCACGAGGTAGTGCCTCACAGAGGGTAACCAGTCATTCATAGCTCGACATAAGAAACTCTCAAGGTTTAAAATAAAAGGACAAAAACTAGAATAGCCCCAAGGGGAGAGGACCGGAACCATACGTCCTAGAGCCAATGAGAAGACCGTGGGAATCTGTTACGTCTAGAATGCGATGAGAGCCTACAAATTGGTGGCTTACTGAGTATAACTTTTATACTCATCCTTGTTTTTCTTTCCGTTTCAGGTATTTGTAGGCCGTCAGTTGAGGTAGAGGAGCATTTGAGAGATGTGCATCATAGAAGGGGTCGTTCTGGAGCGTTATTCGGTTTTACATTTTGGAGTCTTTGGTATTTTCTTTTATATTTATATTCATTTGTAATATTTGAAACAACAAACTTCTTACTCTTTTATTTTAATTTTATCGTATTTTTATCTTTTATTCTACTTTACTTCACTTTTATGTTTATTTGTTTTCGCTTTTATTCTTTGTCACAGTCCGAGTTTTGAAGTATTCGAGTTATAGGTTCTATAGATTTTTTTTTTCATAGAAAGTCGTACACATCTATGACTCAGCTCAATGACATGCCTCGCCGCGACTAGGTATGCAGTCTAACCCTGTTTAGTAGTTTATGATATATTGTAAGTTAGGTAAGAATTTGATGTTAATCTTGGGTTACATGGTAGCTATGATGATTACATCTGAGGGCATTAAATAGTGAAGGTTTACTCTATATGTCAATTTTGGATCCAGAGTTATTGTATTTTGATATGGTAATGAGGGCGAGAAAGGTCATGTGATAGCTTACTGGCCTTAGGAAGACAGAGAGGTGACATCGTAGAGTGCGTGACATCCCACCAATAGAGATGGACATGAGACATCATAAGTTCCTGTGCGAGATGATATACCTATGACCCTGTCTCCTGTGCTCATAATTTTAGATGTAAAGCATGCCTCCAAGGAGACCACGTAGTAGGCTTAGATAGTCTAGGGCACGCTTTGGTACAAACCACATAGTAGACCTAGACAATATTGTTGATTTAGGCAAAGACAATCACTTAGGAATTAAGTACTCCTCAAACAAACCATTATATCAAGTGAGTTTTGGTTAAGTTAAAAAGTAGAGAGATAAGATTCACCAACCAACCTTGAGAGTGAAGCTATAAAGGTCATGGCTACAAGGTTTGGTGGGAGTCTTTAGGAGCTAAGTTCATGTTTATGGACTTTCAGGAGCAGCTTGATGTGCGTTTTATGCCACTGATGAGTTATGGTGTGTATGATATCCTATTGAAGGATCACTGAATAGATGACAAGTTGCTTTGTACTTTAGTGGAGAGGGCCAAGTCCAGTAGCAACATGTGGTTATTAGGATCATATAACTGCATTCTAACTTTTCATTAGGTCAGGATAAGCATGCTCACAAGTGAATACGTGGAACTATCAAGATAGTCTAGTGAACATTGGGGTTGAGAACAGCAGGAAAAAGGGTCAAGCGA